TAGGCCTACCGGGTATGTGTTAAGTATTCTGTTTTGTGGTCTATAGATAGACAACAAAACAGAATGTTCTGTTTTGTGGTCTATAGACAACAAAACAGAATACTTACACACACCTCTCTATATATATTTAAGCATATCTATTATTTTACACATATTTTTACGCTTTGTAGGCTGATCTATGTATAGGTCTACATTGTTGATCAGATACAGAATGACCCATGACTCTATGTTTTGATGTACAGTATGCATAGTTGATTTTGAAGTCAATGAAAACAATAATTTCAAAACCTAATGCAAAGTATATATAATATTTTTTATAGTATACCGTACTTGAGATACTCAAAATCCTTTCTATTGGTTTCTTATAACCACATAACATTCTAAATTTGAATAACAATAAATAAAGGGAAACTAAATATTTGGCAAGACTTTCCATATTCCAGAGACAATATAACCTCTTCAAACCAGTGTTACACAAGGCGAATTCATTCGCACAAATCAAAAGCTTTGGTTTGGCGTTGGTTCACTTTCTGAGCTCTGAATAATTGCGCATTTTTTTAAATAATAACTTTATTATAAAATTATGTTTTCATTCATATATACTACTTTTGGCAATACTAGGCACCTCTCATTAATTAAAAAACATAAGCAGTGATAGAATGCACTTTGCATCAGATCGTTAGGACAACTCAACACGTTGACTAAGTTGACGACCTCTGTAGTTATGAATGAAACCGGGAATTATAGAATCTGTAATTAGGTGATTATAACCATCTCACAGCTGATGGCGTAATGAACTCAAACGTGACTAAAAGGCAGGCAAATACGCAAATATTTTATACGTGAATCGTTCGCACATTAGTATGTTCATTGCCAAGTATATCCATGTTAACGCCCCTATGTAAACAAGCGCATAGAGCTTATAGGGTTATTCTTGCTCTCATTGTTTTGTGTTTTTATGTACTTGTATTTCGTTTTGATATAATAATAATGAGGGCAATAAATATTAAACAAACAAACAAAAACAAAATCACTGAATTAAATGCGAAAATACCATGAAAAGATATAGGCTACAGGATGCGATGCGGATTGATTTGTAAACATGTCAGCCAATCCAATTTGTATTATAGAAGATCTTTTTCACATGACGTCATATCATCATGGATGAAAATAATGTGCCATTTTACGTCATTATGGCCATATTTAGGCGTGTCACACGTTTTGGAAAATAAACTTTGGAAGTCTGGGCAGGGCTTAACACGATTAAGTAACATATATTAGTACTTTTTTTTGTAGTAGTAGATCTGATATATCAATCCGCGCGGTAATTTCCATTGCTAAATATAGATTAATAATAGAGTATTTGGTATGGTATTGTAAAGTAAATCCATTCGTCTGTGGAGTTGTCGCAGAGAGTTGATGTATACAGTGTAACTGATTTTGATTAAACATTGTTTGTCATCGTCCTCATGTATAATACGTCCATGTCATGAGGTATTCTAGACTATCTTTATATAGAACGATTGAAGTTGAACTCTTGCTATATGAATATTACAGATCTGTTAAGAAACGCATGAAATGTAGTGCTGATTTAGGCCTAGTATAGGCTTTGTTGACTAGGCTGAAACAAGCTCACAGTATGGAAGGCGAATTCTGGAACATGGGGATACTCAATCCAGAGTTATTTCAGAGCAACTCACCCTGGTTGGATGTTGTTAAGTGCTTATTGACGATCGTTTTATTACAAATGTTTACGTATGGGGGAAAAACATGGAGAATATACTTTCACAAGGCTTTGATCAACATTTTGTATCACAGAGGTATACATACTTATTTTGTAGTCCATGACGTTTGCTATAAAAATAGGACGGGTCTTGAAGAATAACCATAATAAACAATAACCGCAAGACGATTTAAAGTTTATCTCGACTTTACATTTAACACTTCTTATAGGGCCTATAGGCCTAAGGCCTATATTATATCAATTATTTTATATGAAATAAGATAGTATACATACTTATTTTGTAGTTAATGTTTGTTATGAAAATAGGACGGGTGTTGAAGAATAACCATAATAATAGACATAACCGCTAGACGATTTAAAATTCATCTCGACGTTACATCTTACATTTTTGATAGGGACTATTAATTATTTTATATGAAATAAGAACGGTTATACAAAATACAACGGTATATACTGACATTAGGCCTATACAGACATAAAATTTGATCGAACACTTCGAGCACTCCCGTCCTTCCCTCAGCGGTACACGAATAAACACCGTGCTTTGCTGCTGAAGAGCACACGAGTGCGTGAATTATTCGGATCAAATAAATGTCTCAATGTCAACATCTACCTTTCTAATTGTATACCGTACTAATTTTATATTATCAAGACATACACGGAACCAACACTTAATGTTTGTATATAGGCCTATACATTTAAAAATTACAGGTCCCCCTTTTGGAAAGTAAAAAGAAAAAAAAATGAAAAAAAAAAAAAATAAATAAATAAATAAAAAGAAATAATTGATCGCACCAAACGCCTCAGAGGTTATATTGGGGTGTCTAGAAAACAAAATTGTCGCGGGGCATGCCCCCGGATCCCCTGGGCTACTGTTGTCTCGATCTGCCCAACTTTCGCCACAACTCCCCCTTTTCGGACATCTCTGGATCTGTCCCTGACTTACAAGCAACAACAACTTCTTCTGTTATCAATCTTTGTCAAGCCTGGAAACCTTATTATAATTAACATTTTTCAAGAAAAATACTTATGTTCTGTATTTGATCGAATATTTATGAGGCTGCATCGGCAAAAAATTACGGGTAATCTGAGACACAAAAACGTAGGTGTATACAATTGCCGTAAATTTATTTGAAACGAACACAACAGTTCATCCTGTCCATGGAGTACGGTATGCTTGCAAATTGGCACTTATCAATTACTGTACCAGGAAATAATGCATTTAATATTGAATTAATTAAAAAAGGACATTCCGTATTTTTGGCTCAACTTATGATTCAAGAATGGTCTACCTGCTGAAGAAAGACGTTCCAACTTTCGGAAACAAATTACTTCAATTTGAAACGTAACACAAGCCAGGGGCGGATCCAGTAGGGGGAACGGAGGGCACGTGCCCCCCCCCCCCGTTTTTCCACTAAATTTTAAAATTTCAAGGCATATATTGAAATTAGCGCTCTCACCTATCTATTCTGAATATGTTGTGCCCCCCCCACCCCGTTTGAAAAATTCTGGATCAGGCCCTGCAAGCATCTCCTGCCACTTAATAAGTAAGTCAATAGTTTGCAGAACCGCTACCTTAGATCATTTAAAGAATAATCTCTGCGACAGAAAAAAATCAATATTCAGGATTTTTTTTGGACAAAGTCCAGGATAGGTTAATATCAGCTTAAAATTAAATCAAGAAATTAACATACTAATATTTTTTTAGGTTAGGCCTACAATTGTTAATGGATACTAAATACATTCTGAACTCATATTAAATAAGAGATGGGAATGGTCAGATTAGGCATGATGATGATGATGATGATGATAATAATAATAATAATAATAATAATAATAATAATAATGATAATGATAATGATAATGATAATAATAATAATAATTATAATAATAATGAAGTTGATAATAATAAACTGAGAGCGATAACGATAATAATAACAATAATTTATTATGATAATGGCAATGCTGATGATGATGACGACGACGGTGACGTTGATGACGCCGTCGATGCTGATGTACCGTATATATTAATGGTAGGTAGTGGTACCGTAGCTAATACCCGCCGTCCAATCAGTTTGCTTTGATTTCAGGGACTGACCAATTGGGCTCGCGACATAAAAATATAGACAACAAATATTTAAAAAACGTAATCGTGGTTTCTTCCAGATGCCTTGAACATTTTCAGAATTAAAAATGTACTTCGGCATTCTTTAAATGAGGTGACAAAGAAGCTGCATGCCTTAGAAATACTGTTAACCAAAGAAAAAGAACAACATTCAAGAACAGCCGAGAAGCTAAAAATAAATTCTACAGTTCTTAAAGAGGAAAAAATAATCAGGAAAGAAACCGAACAAATATTGGCAGATGTCAACAGGAAATATACTAAAAAATGTGAATTATATGAAAGAGTAAGCTGGAAATATGAAGAGACTATGGCTGAAGTGGCCAACCTAAAAAAAGTGAAGGAAATATATAGGTGTAAACTCTATGACAGCGAACAACAATTGGGAGAAGTAACCAAGAAAAATACTGAACTTCGTAAATTATATGAGCAAGAACGCCTAAGACGTCGTGAACAGGCGGTGGCCGAAGCAGCAAAAATAAGAAATGTGGAGAAAATGCATGTGTCTAAATTGTATGAGAACGAACAAAGATTGGCACAAGTAACCAAGAAAAATACTGAACTTCGTAAATTATACGATCAAGAATGTATAAAACGTCGTGCACAGGGCGTAAACCTAAGAAAAGTGGAGAAAATGCACAGATCTAAAATGTATGAGTTTGAAGAAAAATTGGCAGATGCCATTAAGGAAAATACTGACCTACGTGATTCATATAACAAAGAATGCTCAAAACGTGAAGAGGCGGTGACTGAATTGGAAAGGTTCAAAAATTCAAACAGAATGTTTAGGTCTAAACTGTATGAGCAAGACACTAAGCTTGCCGAAATGGAAGATCATTTGGAGAGTTGCACACGCCGATTGAAAACAGCAAAGAATTTCGAAGAGGTTACCCTACGAGAAAAGCAAATGGCAGATAAAGAGAGAGATACGATTGCCAGAAATTTTGAAGATCTTAATAATGAAATGGTTATCGAAAGACGTAAGGTAACGTTCATAAGATGGGTGAGCTGTTTTATGTATATAAGTCTAACATAATTATCATCATCACCATCATCATTAAGTTAAGTAATTAAGACATATGGATGATGGAGTAAGAAGAAAACCTACCATTTGTACATTTCACTTGTGTCCTAAAATGCGCTAAAATATTGCATGCAACAAACTATGGAATTTCCCCCATAGGCATCGTGGCAATGACTGGGGTAGCAGTACAGTAATGTGGAAAAACCATCTGAGACTTAGGCTTATATTATGATGAAAAATCAAAGAGTAACCCCCACCCCCGCCCAGGTCTCGTCGGTAGCTCCCTCCATTTTCAGAAGCCAGCTTGCAAATGTACAATTGCTGAACCTAGGGTCTGTAGTACCTGTCTCTTATACACATCTAGATGTGTATAAGTACACAGTGTTGTCATTTTAAAAGCTCGTTCTTGCTAGCCAATACAAATTCCTTCCTCGGATCACTCAAAATTTTAAATTAATAAATCCCAGGCCAGGTCTCTTTAAGATAAAGAAATGTGATATTGTATGGCCCTGACAAAAGATCAGGAGGAATTTGTTGGCGCCTCATTTTGACTATATGATGGTAATGTGAATTTTACTATATAAAGTGTCATTTCCGGCCATTTAGAGGTACTATTTCCTTAAATTTTCTCACCTCAGCCCCAACCATGTTAGGGCTGAGGTGTTGTGAAATCACGGCTTTAAAGTATGTAAAGTACATACTCAACTCAAAAACGATGTTTTAAGCTTTATTTTCTATGGTACATCGCACATAATAATATCTCTATGGTTGCCGAAAATCCCTGATAAAAGATCATGAGAAATTTGCCACTTCATTTTGACTAAATATAATGGCGATGTGATGATGATGAATTTTAGGCCTACTAAAAGTGTCATTTCTTGCATCTAGAGGTACTATTTCCTCAAATTTTCTTACCTCAGCCCCAACCATGGTGGGTCTGAGGTCGGTGTCAACTCGCGAAATATCTCCACCACCTCCACCTTTTAAAACAGATCTACGCCCTTCCCCACCTAATTTTTTGGATGGAAAACAAAAAGAAAAATATATTCATATTTAAGTCTGAAGTGTAATTTCCGGCCATAGAGGTGCCCTAATCATAAATTTTCTTACCTCAACCCCAACCATGGTGGAGCTGAGGTCGGTGGTTCTTCAGTCTGTGAAAGACCCTCTGGATCCCCCATTATTATATAATTATTGTTAGGCTACTAATATTATTTATGATGTGTCTATTACAATTTTCAATTTTTCCTCTCAAAACAGCCATAAAAACTTTCAGAGTTCACTACTTCCTAGGGGGCTTCGCTCCTGGACTCAACCGGGGTCCTACGTATCTCGCATAACGGCTTCCCTCCTTCAAAATCCTGGCTACGTCCCTGAACTAGGGTCTGTAGTACAATGTAAATTTTGCCGTTAAATGAAGTTTTAATGCAAACTATTAAATTTCTAAAAAAAAATAAAATTATTAAAATTTGTTCTTTCAGATTAAAGAATCAATGTCAAAAAATGACTTGCTTCTTAAAAGGTATGTGTGTCTTAAGTGGAAATATATATATGTATATATATATATATACCTATATATA